GGTGGGGGGGGGGGGGGGGGGGTATTATGAGCACTTGAATTACGGTCATAAGATAGCAAGTAAAAGAGTTTAAGAAGCGCTGACATATGATGGATTATGAGGAAGTGACATTAAACGGAAGAAGATGCTTTTTGAATCGGATATGCAAACGGAAATGACTACTTTGCGGTGTTTTTGACGATGCATTAAGATTTATATGAGGAGTACTTTCAATTCATTATTTTTTATTATTGTCTGGTATTATTATTTTTTATTATCATTAATTATTATTTATTATAAAATCATCCAATACACGTATTGTTTTAATTGTGTTTATTACTGGGTTTTTTAATATGTGTATTTATCACGATTATTATTATTATTTGTTATTATTGTTTATTATTATTTATTATTATTTATTATTATATATTATTATTACCTATTATTATTTTTATTGCAGATTAAAAATGAGTAAAAGCTTAAACATGGCGAAACTGCGGGAGGTTTGTTTAGAACCAGCCACGGTCTCGCCAGATCGCGAGGACGTCAGTATCTCGTCAGTGGTACCGTCTCTTCCCGACCCTACCGGACATTTCGCCCCCAATCAGGCATCCAATCTTAATAACAGTAATAATAATAATAATAATAATAATAATAATAATAATATAAACAAAAACAGTGTACGTAATATAAATCATAATAATAATAACAAATATAATAACAATATACCACACCAACAATATCAATTCGATCTACCCAATGTTATCAATTCATCAAATTATACTACAAATAAAAATGTCTATAATCCACAGCAAGCGGAGAGACTGTTATCGCAGAAAAAACAATGTTCTAATGTGAGTTTTCCTTATTTTTTCAAATTTTCAATTTGAAATTCTTACAGTGATAATATAAATACAATAATAATAATAATGTTAATATATAAGAGTATTCATATATTAATGAAAAGCAACACGGGTTTAGGAGCTGTCTTGGAATAGAGGAGTAAAGGGGGAGGTTAAAGTGACTTCAGGGTCCCAGTGTAGTTAAAGTCGAATGAAAATGTTGGTGAACCTTGGGAACCAGATAATTCCAGGCTTCCTGGAAGAAGAGCATTCTGAGAGGGAGTGAAAAATATAAATATTTTGATGGCATATTAATATTCCTAGTGTTTTTCTAGAATAATTATTTTGACAATTATTTTAATGTACATAGAAACAGGAAGAGAAATTCAGTTATATTTGCGAAAAATTATTATTATTTGAAAAATAAAAACACACATAAAATATGGGAGTGTACAAATTAAGTGTTAAGTATGTATAGATGCCGTTGTGAAATTTTCCTAGAGTTTAGAGGTTTAGAGAGGTTTAGAGAGCGAGGAATTGAAAAAACGATTTAAGTAGATAGATTCAGCAGATTTCTTGT